GGCTCGCTTTAATCAAATTACACCTCGGCCAGCCAAGAGGTTGCCAGGAGGCAGCGTGGGTAGCGGGGCTCCCGATTGGCCCGATCCACAAAGCTGTGCAGGAATTTTGTACGAGTGTGAGAAAGGCGGGCGGGCAAACCCCCCCCCACCCCCAGGGACCCGTCCCTTCAGGTGGAACAAACCTAATCACAGGATCTTATTGGCAGAAATGATTTGAGGGATATGAAAGCGGTCAGCCCGTTCCCATGGAAGGGAAACGGATATAAAAATCTGCGCAGAATTCCGGGGAAATAAAGTTATTATTTAAAAAAAAAAAACTATCTGAACCCAAAAATAAAATTGTAAATAAACAAATTGTTTCCTTTTTTTTTTTTCTGTCTTTTTATCTCAATTTGGAAAAATCGTATATAAAAAGGAGAAAGGAGTGACAGGATATCCCAGGAGCAACAAATGTATCGGTTGTATGCTGATAACAGTCCATTAACCCTTTCACTGCCAGAGCTGGTTTTACATTTCTCCACACGTATTAAAGGAGAACTATGGGGTTAAGGCTTTTCCCCATAGTTCTCCTTAGGGTAACGGGAGGAGACAAACTAGCGTCCTCCCGTCACCCTAGGCTCAGTATACCGCGAGCTGTAGCTCCCTATATACTGAGACGCCGCAGCTGAAGCGGATCCCGACAATTGTGCCGGGATCCGCCCAGCTGCGTGAGTGACAGCTGGCTCTGCCTATCTAGAGGCAGAGCCAGCTGTACCCTTCCCCGTCCGATCCACCAGTCAGCGCTGGAGGATCGGAGGGGGGAATCCAGCCCCTCCCCTGTCACGGCAGAGAGCCGTGACAGGATCAAGAGGTGAGCGAACGCCGGTATGTGTTCGCTCACTTCCCGATCTACTGAGCCGACCTGTGACAGTCTCATTGTCACATGTCGGCTAGAACTATGAGGTGAGTGAAAAGCACTCACCCCCCTCCCCCCCCCCTCATAGTTCTCCTTTTTTAAGATGCACATTTTAGGCCTGAAAATTGCTTAACCCTTTGGCTGCCACCAATGTAAGGATTACGTCGCTGGCAGCGGGTCTGTATAAAGCCGCCGGGATTCTGTATACATTTATAAAGCCGACTGCGGGCTTTACAATGGAAGCGGCTCAACTGCCGCTAGATCGATTCCACGGACCAACCCCCTCCCCTGACACCCCCCGCCTTGTTTTCCAGTCTCTGCTGCCCCTCCTGTGGGCCCGGGACCGGCATGTCAAGTGTCGGCTGGATGCTAGGGAGGAGAAGCGGCGAACTTATGTTCACCGCTCTCCTCCCCGTTCTACGGGACCACGAGAGATGCAGATTACTTCACTTCCAGTCCCATAGCTGTCATTGGTCGGCACCTGAAGCCTGCGATCTGCACCCCTATAGCTTATTTAGAGTGGAAAGGTGACACTAGGGATCTTTTGGACCCCCAGCATCACCTTAAAGGAGAACTATAAGGTGAGTGATTTTCATCATAATCTGAGCCGACCTGTGACAATTAAACTCCGCGTGGACCACGACTATGTCTTGAATTCGGCGCAGCTGGCCAAGTCGGGGGGCTGCAAACACTTCAATCTGGAATCTTCCAAGGGAGCCAACAAGAAGAGCGGCTTCCTCTACCTCCGTGTGAAGGTCAGCTGACCGCGAGGCGTCCATTGCTGCTTCATCACATTTCGGGCAGATGTAAAGCGGGTCACCGCAGGAACGGAATATTCCGTCCTAAACTATTATAGGATGCCAAGAAAAAGTTATTTAGTTTTACCTCAATTTGTTGGGGTTTTGTTTCCACTAAAAAGAAGAAAAAAAGGATGAAAATGTTTTATTTTCATCTATTTGTTCCCTGTGTTTTTAAAAAAAAAATTAAAATATTACTGATAAATCATCAGCAAAAGGGGAGGACGGAGGTCAGATAGAAGACTGAAGGGAAGGACGGAGGTCAGATAGAAGACTGAAGGGAAGGACGGAGGTCAGATAGAAGACTGAAGGGAAGGCCGGAGGTCAGATAGAAGACTGAAGGGAAGGACGGAGGTCAGTATGTTAGAGAGGAGACTCCATATACAGACATCGCTGTGATAACAGGAAGCGTGATGTGACCGATGTCTTTGTGTTGCTGGGAGTTCCGGGTGAAATCGATGGGAATATTATGGGATACATTTCATCGTTGGTTTCCTTCTCAGGGGGAAGTTGAAGCTGAAATAGAAGATTTGGGATTTGAACGATATTCGATCTTCAGACCGGCGTGAGTATAAAACTCTCATTGTAACTTCTCGGCTTTTCCTGCCCCGCTGAGGACGCGCTCTCTCCTGCTGAGTCGCCTCATTTAATGACACAAATGAAGGATTATTTGGTGTTTATTCCCAAATCTCTATAAATAATAATAACGATGATGATGGTGATGGTGATGGTGATGGTGATGATGGTGATGGTGATGATGGTGATGGTGATGATGGTGATGATGAGGTATATACAGTATACAGATTCATGTGAGTCTAATATTATTATTTTTTATTATTATTCATTACAAACTCACATGAATCTGTATACATTGTTATTATCATTATTATTATTAATAACTGCTGGGTCACCGTTCAGAGAGGGGAACTGAGATGTTGAGCCGCTGCGGGGAGGGGGAAGCTGGTTGCTGAGCTGCCATGTCCCTGTCAGGAAGGGGAGCAGAGCTGCTGTGTCACTGCTAGGAAGGGGAGCAGAGCTGCTGCGTCACTGCTAGGAGGAGAAACCTGAGCTGCTGAGTTGAGAGGGGGGTGGTGGGAGGGGCAGCTGAGTCACTTCTTAGAGAGGGAGGAGGTGATGCTGGGTCACTGTTGAGAAGTGGGAGCAGGGGAACTGAGCTGCTGGGAGGAGGAAACTGGGAGCTGAGCTGCCAGGTCCCTGCTAGGAGGGGCAGCAGAGCTGCTGTGTCACTGCTAGGAGGGGGAGCAGAGCTGCTGTGTCACTGGTAGCAGGGGGAGCTGAGCTGCCAGGTCCCTGCTAGGAGGGGGAGCAGAGCTGCTGTGTCACTGCTGGGAGGGGGAGCAGGGTGATTTGAGCTCTTGACTCGCTCCTGAGATGGGGAACAGAGCTACTGAGTCACTACTTGGAGGGAGGACCTGAGCTGCTGAGTCACTTAAGGGATGGGGGAGTTGAGCTGATAAATAAATATTGGCAGGGGAGCAGGCCAAAAGTAGCTGAGATGCTACTGAGAGGGATAGCAGGGTGAGCCGAGCCGCTTAGTCACTACTGGGAGGGGGGAGCAAGGAGAACTGAGACAACGATTTCAATGACTTTAATGCCCAGAGCCTGGCCACAGGTTCCTTTGACCGAGCTCTCTCCTCCTCTCTGTCCAGCGTGCTCCTTGTTGACCGGGAAGAGTCGCGCCCAGCCGAGTGGTTCGCGAGGAAGATGTTGGTCCCCATAGCCTACATGTTCCCTACCGCCTACAGTACTCCCATCACCACCCTGGTGAAAGCCATGCTGAATAACGCCGCGGTGCCGAGTGACAAGAAGGTGGAGCTGCTGGAAAACAAAGCCATCCATAACCTGGGCAAACTGGGCGAAGGCAAGAGCTAAAGGGCGCCAGCAAGGGATTGTGGGTAGCTGTGCCGCCTTCACCCACCCCGAGGGATTGTGGGTATGCGAGTGTGTCACTGAGGAGTTACGGGTACAAAACTCTTCATGGCTGCAGCAAGGGATTATGGGTACACGGGTATAGACGATAAAATGATACCACTCTAGTGTGTAACAATTACACATCAACCGACATGGGGCCTCGTTGTACCCCAGGCACACTCCAATGCCGACGCCCTTCTGTACAAGCTCCGCCCCTTGTGTGGTGCGCTATCACCTATATTAGTAAGCAGTACGGCTACAATGTATCATCGGGCAGCTCGCTGTGTGTGTGTGTGCTTTATAATGACAGCTACACTGTACACACAACAGGAAAGAGATGATTGTACTCTAGCGAGTCTTCTGACTCCTCTTAACAACCCCATGCACAGTCTTCCTTCTGCTTTCACTTGCCAAGCTTAGCCAGAAATGTCCAGAAGGTGGTCAGGAGAGGGAAACAAAATGAGGAAGAAAGGGGGTCATTGTTTT